TAAGTGTTTTGCTAGTGGCCAATTTATAATGCTGTAGGGTTCACCTGGCTTGTTTTCCATTTCTTAAGGATCACTATCCTTTATCTCCTGATGTCATTTAAAAATATATGTGTGTCTTTTTTCTGTCACTGTGGTATTCATACTGTTTAACAGGAAGGTAATTTAAAGTTATGACTTGCAAAAAAAATTACTTGCTCTTTTTTTTTACTGTAATTATCTCATGTTTCAGGGAGAAGGGAAATAATGCTTTTCTTTGAGAAAGAATAGGTTTACATATCATTTTTTATTTAGCCTTATGGATATTTTTGCCATTACAGAAAGTTCTAAGTGGAATAAATTAGCACAGACTGGGTAGCTTAAAACAACAGAAATGTGTTGTGTCAGTGTTCTGGAGGCTAGAAGCCTGACATCAAGGTGGCAGCAGGAACATGCTTCCTCCTGGGAAGAAGCCTTCCTTGCCTTCTAGCGTCTAGTAGGTTACTGGCAACCCTTGGCATTCCTTGGTATTCCTTGATTTGTAGATACCTCTCTCCAAACTTTGCCTCCTTGTCACATGGTGTTTGCCCTATTCATCTGTGTTCTGTGTCTAAAGTTTTCTCTTGTAAGGGCACCAGTCATGGGATTAGGGTGCACTTCTTAGTCCAGTATGACCTCCTCTTTACTTGATTTCACCTACAAAGACCTTATTTCCAAATAAAGTCATGTCAACAGGTAATGGCATTTAGGACGTGAACTAATCTTTTGGGTAGGGGGACATTAGTCTATTCACAGCAGCTATTGTCAAGTAAAAATAGTTCTGTTTTGTCATGTCAATTTGATAATGCTTTTGAAAATTTTTTGTCAACTTGAAGTTAACTAAAAATAGCCTAAGCCCTGGACTCTCATAGTCTAATTTCCTTATTTAGGAAAGCTAAAGATTTGGACAGTGTCTTCTGGGAACTATTTATTTATTTATTAAATAAGAATTGAGGACATATTGTCAGGCACTGGGCATATAAAGATGAATAAGACAGGGTTCCTGACATCAAAAAGCTTATAGTCTGGTGAGTGATATCTGTATTTGAATAAATATGCTATTAGAAACATGAATCAAGCACTATAAGTATATGAAAACAAGAGTTTGAATTCATCACAAGAAAATGAGAATTTAGCATAACTGACAAGTTTTTAAAATGTGTTGGATGTCTTCTTTCTCTTAGATGGCTTATATTATTTTTTAACTACTTTTTACTTAACCTTTCACTTTCTGAAAGTGTGGGTCCTTAAGATATGATACTAAAGCTTTTGAGTTTGTCTTCATAGTCTCATTATATTGCACTTCAACAGGTCATGGAAACATGGGAATATGTTTACTTGCTGTAACCTAATTTCTCAGAAAGATACAATTTAATTGAACTTAGTAATTGTTTTTACCTTTCAGGAACTTTCTAGAATACTTAATTTTATTTTTTATTACTATTTACAATTTAGAGGTAAGGCCGTTAGGGCTACAGAATTTTTGTGTTTTGGTATGTTCTTGTTTAAATGTGGAATTTGTTTTGCAATCTAGTTTTAACTTTTCTTTATGTTTGAGTGTAGTCTCAAGGGCGAAGTGAAATCTTAATGAGTCTACAGAAAGTTCTGAATGGGCTTGGTGGTGCAGCAGCCTCTTCTCATCGTGATATTTACAAGAATGCCAGGTCCCTCTTGACTGACAGGTCCATGGCTGTTCGATGTGCAGTTGCCAAGGTTAGTACTAGACCAATTTATAATGCTGTAGGGTTCACCTGGCTTGTTTTTCATTTCTTAAGGATCACTATCCTTTATCTCCTGATGTCCAGTGTCTTGAAAACTGTTGTTTTATATTTTTTGTCCAACATTTTGGTTATTTCTGGAGAGTAAATCTGGTTCTTGTTATGCCATCTCTGGAAATGGAAGTTTTAGGGTGTAATTTAGTTTTTTTGTGTTTTTTTTAAATGACAGTGTCTACTAGAACTACAGAATGAAGCTGTGTTCATGTGGACTGCTGAACTGGAAAATATAGCCACTCTCTGCTTTAAGGCTTTGGAAAACTCAAATTATGGAGTGCGAGTGGCAGTGTCTAAACTCTTAGGAACAGTCATGGCAACAGCACTAATGCCTAAGCAAGCAACAGGTACCATTTCCAACCCCTGACCTAGACTGTAGCAGACACTTGAAGGTACATGGAATGCTTCCTTCTAAATGAATTATTACTCATAGGCAAGTCACTTTAAAGGATTTCAATCATTAGGTATTTCTCTACTTTTCGTAACATTACAGTACCCAAATGGCGTTTTTTCTTGGTATCGTCAAGAAATTTTTTATGATGATAATGTACAAGGTAATATTACAGCAAGTATGTTGAACACATAAGCAAGTAAGATTTATGCAATGATTTTGTATGATATTAATTAAGGGCTTTAAATCAGACACTTGATACCCTTTTTTATTTTAAATCTTTGATGACTAGATCACCATTTGTAACATAGTATTATTGTTCATTTTTTCTTGGCCATCGTTGTGAACAGAATCAGAGGCAGCATTGACTTTTCATGTGACATCTCCTGTGGCTCCCAATTTCATGGAGATGCTTCAGGGACAGTGGTGTGTAGAGCTGAGCAGAGCCAGCTGTGCTGTGTCCTCACCCCTACTCCATATCTATAGAGAAGGAGAGTCAGATGTTATAGAGTCAAGTCCTAGCTCCTATGTGTATTAGTTGTGAAACCCCTTGAGCTTTGTTCTCTTCATCTTTAATAATAATTATGTCGCCCTAACCGGTTTGGTTCAGTGGATAGAGCGTCGGCCTGCGCACTGAAGGGTCCCAGGTTCAATTCCGGTCAAGGGCATGTACCTGGGTTGCGGGCACATCCCTAGTGGGGAGTGTGCAGGAGGCAGCTAAATCGATGTTTCTCTCTCATTGATGTTTCTAACTCTATCCTCTCCCTTCCTCTCTGTAAAAAAATCCTTAAATACTAATTTGGCAGGGAGTTTTGTGTATAAATTTTCTTTGCATTCATGTGTAAATGAACCCCCAAAAAGGTAATCCAGTGACTTTTTTTTTAATCCTCACCCGAGGTAAATTTTTTCCTTTGATTTTTCAGACAGAGTGGAAGGGAAGGAGGAGGGGAGTGGAGAGAGAGAGAAACATTGGTGTGAGAGAGACACATTGATTGGTTGCCCTCTCATGAGCCGTGACTGATTCTGGGATCGAACCTGCAACCAAGGTACGTGCCTTGACCAGGAATCAAACCAGAGACCCTTCTGTCCACAGGCCTACGCTCTAACCCCCTGGTCGGCAGACTGCGGCTCGCCAGCCACATGTGGCTCTTTGGCCCCTTGAGTGTGGCTCTTCCTAAGCTTTAGGAGTACCCTAATTAAGTTAATAACAATGTACCCACCTATATAGTTTAAGTTTAAAAAATTTGGCTCTCAAAAGAAGTTTCAATGGTTGTATAGTTGATATTTGGCTCTGTTGACTAATGAGTTTGCCGACCACTCTATAACCCCTGAGAAAACCGACTAGGGCTCCAGTGACATTGTAATGCATTGGTAACTGACGAAGTTTCTTTGTGTCCATCTCAGTTTTGGGAAGGAAGCTGTCTGTGATCAGTTAGCAGTATCTGCTGTGGGTATATGCTTTGTCCTTGTGTTACACATATTGAGGTTACATCATTATTAGACTATTCTGTCATAGATTTATTGAATTGATTTTGATTTTTAGTTCTTTATATTCTTAGCATTTTTGCTTCAAATTGAATTTATTTTTACAAGTACATTGTCAATTTTAAGAAAATAGGAAAATTCAATGGCCTTATCTCCTTTGTGGTTACTTAGGTATGCTTAAAAATAATTACTTGAATTTTCAAGCTAGATTATTAGAAAGTTTTATTTAACTTATAACAAAATATTTTGTTTATAATTTTACTTTTCATCCTGAAAGTAATGCGCCAGAATGTGAAGCGAGCGACATTTGATGAGGTCTTAGAACTCATGGCCACAGGATTTCTGCGCGGAGGGTCAGGTTTCTTAAAGAGTGGTGGAGAAATGTTAAAAGTTGGAGGGTCTGTTAATCGTGAAGTGAGAGTTGGAGTCACACAGGTTTGTAATACATGTATAAAAGAGTTCTGTTCATATCATTGTGAAAATTCATGGAGGACTCTTACTAAGTATAGTACACACACAGATTTTTAATGTTGTCTGGTTTCTTTCAAAACATTTCTTTTACGAAATGAATGAATTACATTTAAACTCCAAATTGCATGCTTATATGGCAAGGTTAGATATTTAATGATGTATAAATAAGCCTATGTCTACTATTTTTATAAATATTTAAGAAAATTTTACTTTTTAGAAAATCAGATGTGAAATAATTCTGTTGTAATTTAAATGTTATTCAAGTTGCTTGAGACATTTAGATTTTAATTTTGATCACTGACCTGTAGCTAAAAATATTGGTTAATACT